GAATCTTGTAGAAAGTAATCTAGCAGATGGCTTGCCAAGGCTGCAGACAATTACATATCTTCCCCTAAAATGTAGTTTGCTAGTGTTCATCAACAAACTCTCAATGTGAAGAGGACCTCCTTTAATTTAATCTTAAATCAAGAAGTGGAACACAGTTCAGTATGGAGGATGGATTTTGAAGCTGAATGATTCCCCCTCCGTGCACAGAAAATATTTAACAATAAGATAGTGCTATCTCACTTGCAAATGTATTTTACACCTCTTTTAAAAACAAAATAATGCAAAACCATCCTTGACCTAGGGCGGCTAGGATCTGGAACCGACTTCCAACGGAGGTGGTGCTGGCTCCTACCCTGGGGGTCTTTAAGAAGCGGCTTGATGCCTACCTGGCTGGGGTCATTTGAGCCCAGTTTTCTTCCTGCCCAGGCAGGGGGTTGGACCTGAAGATCTACAAGGTCCCTTCTGACCCTACTTCTATGATTCTATGACATGACATATCATTTTCTTGGTGTATGTAGCTAGGACTGGAGTTTATTTGCAAATGACTCAGGTCCCCTCCTTCCCCCTTCCAGAACTGAAACTAATAATTAGGTCCATGCTATACTTAAATGGAGAACAAAAATAGGATTGCCATCAATGCAAATGCTGAATGAGGGTTCTCCAGGCATGCCTTGTTAGTTTTTTCAGAGCAATTAGACAAGGACCTAGTGGGAAGTGGCTTTAATTAGCTTACTGAAATGTACTATTACTTTAGTTAGCTACTTGCTGTTGCATTTTCTGAAGGAGGAAAATGATCAGATTGGTGCTTTACTGCTAACAGCTGTAAAAGCATTTGGTTGTGTTCCTGTGCTATTGACAACGAAAAGAAAAAAATTAAAAGGTGACTTCTGACAAACGTTTCTGAGGGTAAGTCTGAAGCCGAGGGAGAAACTATACAGAAAAAAAGCACTACCATTATGAAAGATAGTGCCCTCTCTCCTCTCTTTCTCCGGAAAACTGCAGCAACCAAACTGAACATCATTTTAATTACTGCAATTGCTATGGACACACAGAGGAACACCCCTGCATAGCTATCAGATGCTAAATAACATCAGGGAAAATATGTTGGTGTTTGTCTTGGTAGCATAAGATAAAATGAAATGTCACCAATATTCTCTCTAAGACAGACTCTTGATTAGTCTCACAGTCATTTACCAAAGACAGAAACATTCCTGAAGCATTTGACATATACAATTGTTGATCAGAAAGGAAAAAAAAAGTCAGACAAATCTGACAAATACTCAGGCAATGTTAGTCTATGCAGAACTCGCTGGTAGTTTGTAAGGATCTGTTTAGTCATATGATGTTGACTTTCCTTTCCAGCAGGCAGCTAAAACACACTAAATATTTTCTTATGAGTTTCCACTGCTTGTCACTGGTGCAGTTACCACAGGATATTATGTAATCACCAACACAAGAGACATGGTCACGTACACAAAACAGAGTATTTGGAAGACAGTTTCATGATTCAAACTTCAAGAAGTTTGGAAATCCTTTTAGGATAGGAAGCTTGGTTACATGTTACCTTTCCTAGCAGGGAGATGGAACTCAAAATAAACAGAATACAACTAATAATTTAAAGAGGCATTACTGTCTAGCAGAACAATCACGAGACAGATTGGGAGACCTAGTTTCCAAAATGTAAGAATTCTGCGTCTACCTGTAACTCATCCTGGGAGTCAGAGAATAACCTCCTGTGCTTTAGTTTTCTCAGGACGACATATTGTAAGAACTGTCTATATGATATGTGCTGAAGTAGGAACCATGTGTTAATAAAATCCTAAAACAAATTTCATCTCAATACACCTCATTAAAGTAAATAAATTATTTAGTTTAATAAATGATGGTTTTTTTCTGCCAAGCAATCCATTTTCATGTTATGGTAAAAGTGAATGCATTGGGGTTTTTTCTTACTAGTCATTAATTTCAAAGTAGGTATAAACTATGATAGTTTTGCTTAAAACTACTACAAACAACAGACCAAAGTTCTGTATTACTTGAAAATAAAACTATGGGTGAGCTTTACAATAAACTCAAGTCACAGTAAATTAAATAACTTTATATTTTTGTAGGTACATTCATCCTGGCAAATGCTGTTACAACCTCTGAAGTGCATAAATTGGGGAGAATTTTCTTTGGAGTAAAGGCTGTCATTCTTTGCTACCAGAGGCACAAACAGTTTTTGCCAGAGAAGTAATAAATAACTTCTCCCCTTGAACCAAGAGTGATTTATGCATCTAAAATGTGGTTCCATAAAGTTGTAATTCGGTGAGCTAGATAACCAGAAGTAACTACCTTCACTCTTGCACAAAGCTGACTTTCAAGCTGAGTGCTGATTCAACACGGATATCATCTGCTACTTGTTCATCTACTGCAACATCAGGACAGGAAGAGAAACAATCCAAAAGCTAACACTTAATAGCCACTATGAAAATGTTACTATGAAAAAGCCACTGAACACTGCAAGGGAGTCTTAGTGATATGAGCACAGGAAATGCACTGCTTTACATTTGCCTTTTTAATCAGATAATTGGCTACCTGGGTTAGGGAATGTGTCCAAAACATTAGCTGCCTTTGGTCAGGGAATTCTGCAGCTAGTACAGTGCATTTACTTATGGCAGAGGTTCACAATTCTTGTAACTACATAACATGACACCAGCCCTAGTTTCAAGCCTTTTGCTTACACCAGGGGTCAGCCAGATCTGGCCCACCAAGGGATTCTATCTTGCTTGCGGAGGGTCCCTATGGAGACTAGCCAGGACCCCCACAGATGGGACACACTTAGCCAGGCAGATGGGATGGGACCACGGATGGGCGGTGGGCATCATCTGGGAATGGAATGGGTAGGCAGGGTTAGGGCCAGGATCACAGGGCAATGACAGCACAGGAGTGAGGCCACAGCCTTGGGTGGAGGCACAATCCACTCCCCACAGACCCCTGCCCACAGAACTGACACCTGTCACAGGGACATGCAGGGAGGATTGTAACTCTGCTGCAGGTCCCGTCCTGTCACTGCTCTGCAAACCTGGCCCTGCTCACCTGTCCCACTTCACATACCGCTCCCCACCTGTCTGTGGTCCCTATGACTCTAGGAATCCCATCCACTGGGCTGAGCACATCCTGGGCTCATCTCTATGGAGACCCCACCTGCCTGGCACTCCCAGCCCTGGGTGCAGGGCAGATGGGTTGGATAAGATCAATTGCCCTTCCCCCACCCACTGGGCAAGAAACACCCCCACCCACTCTGTCAGCCTGCAGCAGCTCACAGAAGCTTCTTAAATTGCCCTGCAGCCCAAACAATTGCCCATCCCTGGCTCATGCTGTACCAGACAGGTCTGTTAACCGTACCTTTTTTGGCCCCACTGCCTACTTTATAAGATAATTTTATGTACTTAACTGCACAACTTGTGAAAGAGATCAGGAACCGTCAATTATAAGGCTTCTCAAACAGCCTTGAACTGACTGGGTCCAGTCAGTTTCAAGGTTGCCATTAGAAGCATGAAGAAATAAATGAGAAATAAAGGCACCAGCCCAAATGAAGGGAAAAAAGTTTAGCAGACTGTTCCTGTTGTTCATGAGTGCTGTTTACACTGAGCTGGAGTATGTGCACATCAGGCGCAGCATTTTTTCAGTCCCAAGGCTATCCACTTAAATGGAGTGCTCTGCAGCTGTCCACCCACTTCCTATGGGTTTAATTTCACTTGCTGTTGTGGTGGGAAAGCGCGGGTACAAATATAAGCAAACATTTTCAAAGCGGTGCATGAAGAGGATATGAAACTGCAGTTAGTTCACTACAGAAAAAACCTCACAAGCCCAGAAAATTACAGACATATTACATTTTCCATTTCAGTTAACCTGAAAGCACTGAGATCAAGGAGGCATTCAGCAGCAAAGATTAGTTGAACATATTCATATTTCGTATTAAAATAGGTTCTACGCACTTTAAACACACTGCATCCAACCACATCGTGTGGTCCAGCAATGATTTCAAGTTAATCAAAAATGGTTGGTCAGGATTTTAAATTAGAGCCCCCCTCCAAAAAACCCCTCTAGACAGCGAGTAGCAGCCCTGAAAATCAGGAACAGCACCTTCTTTTCAGCTCCATACTGAACTGACACTGCATCCCACCAAGCTGTGCAGATACAGTGCTAGGCAGAAATCTTTCTGGGAGAAGTAAAACGGAAGTCGGACTGCTGATGGTAATTCAGATCCCTTTGGATTATATGAAAAGTGAGGTATTAAAGTCCATTTCCAACCGGAACAACCAGTCCTGCCACCTTAAAGCCCAGGTAGGTATAATTGTACTGGATCAGCGAGGGCCTTGCATTAACAAGATCTCTCAAATTACTGCAGTGTTTCCTCACCGCTGACAAGATGCAATATGCTGCTTCTGAGGCAACTGTACCTTAGCGAAGCAATGAACTAACTGCTCGGTCTTTTCTAGACTTACAACCCGGCATAAAGACAAGCTTGCCCAGCACCGCGGCCCCGCGAACCCGAGCGCCACAATGCCATCATGCGAAACCCCCGCGGTCCTTCCTGCACACGTTCAACCGCTGCGAGATGACTTACATTTATTGACCAGAATAAGGCTCGTTTCACGCGAGTAAAAGTAAGGGCGATGCTCGATAGTCCCGGCAGCGCTTAGCCCCACTAGTCCCCTTCGCTCACGAAACGCGGTCACTGCCTTTCATGCACACCAGGGCCCGGGCCCCTGGACCAGCTCCTGCAAAGCTTCTTATGGGTCAGGGCTAGGGGGAGGGGGGTAAAGCGGCTCTCAAAGCCTGGCAATTGTCTGTTTAAAGTGGGGCCGCTGCTCCTCACCGCCTTGGGCACTCCCTGGCCCCAGGAGGGGCTGGTGCACCGCTCGCCCCGCACTGCCCGTTGTGGGCACCCCGCGCACCCCGCACAGGGGCAGGGGCCCGCTGCCGTGGAGGCCACGGACAAGTCGGGCGCTCACCATGGTACAGATGGAGGCGAGTCTCCGGACGGTCATCAGCATTTCCATCTGCCCGAGCCAGCCCCGCAGCCCGCGGCCGCCCCAGTT